TCCCTGAGGCTGAGAGAGTGTGACTTGGCCAAGGTCACCCAGTGGGTTCCATGGACGAGGAGGGAACTGAACCTTGGTCTCCAGAATCATAGCCCAACTTTAAAACCAATATGCCACGCTGGCTCTCATAGGGTTGCCTTAGGGTCGCCATAAGTCGGAAACTACAAAGTGCAACTCCCAAGATTCAATAGAATGGAGTAGAAAATGAAATAATAACACTGTAATTGTGGAAAGTCAATGATTCGGTGGCAGGGGGGAGGAATGCCATTCTCCAACATCGCTGTAGTAAACATCCTTATACTGTGTACTATATAACCTGCTATTTTATGAACTACAGCTGCTAAGGTTCATTTTGAACTACTGATCATTTATTATATGGTTGTGTTTTCCTTCAGCATCTTTAGTTTCAAGAAATCTCACTCTTTTTAATTATAAAAAGCACCCTACTCTTTGGTGCTGGCTTTGTTTATGCCCCTTGCTTAACAAAGGCCTAATCTGCACTGCAGAAATAATGCAACTTGACATTGCCATGGCCCAGTGCTGTAGGATTTGTAGTTTTGTGAGATATTTAGCCTTTTCTCTGTCAGAGCCCCTGGTGTCACAACAAACTACAAATCCCAAGAGTCCATCAAACTGCATTATTTCTGCAGTGCAGATTTGACCAAAGTCAGCAACAAAATGGCTCCTCTTTCCTGAGTCCCTATAATCCCTGCATCATGAAGCTAAGGGCCTTTACAGACTGCCAGAAATAGTGCAGCTTGAGTCCACTTTAACTGCCCTGGCTCAGTGCTAGGGAATCACGGGAACTGTAGTTTATTGTGGCACCACAGCTCTCTGACAGAGAAGGCGCAATGTCTCAGAAAAAACTACAATTCCCATGATTCCCTAGCATTAAGCCAGGGCAGTTAAAGTGGTCTCAAGATGGATTATTTCTGGCAGTCTGTTCAGGCCTTATATTATTCCTTTGTGATCGACTTAACTATCTCTAAATTTATTTAACTTTAAAGAAAAGGCCAATAACTCATGCTGCAGAGTTATTTATGTGTAAGTAACTCTGGGGGGAAAATAAATATTTTCCCAGAAATGTGAGGATTCACATATTTTCATTTAAGTGGGGTATACATATTATTATTATTATTATTATTATTATTATTATTATTATTATTATTATTATTATTATTATTATTATTATTATTATTATTATTATTATTATTATTATTATTATTATTATTATTTTAATTTGCTCTCTGCCAATGTCATGCAGGGGTAGGCAACCTTTCCCCTTTAAGGGCTGAGGGACTTCAGCTCCCAGAATCCCAGGAGCTATTGGCCAACATGGGATTATTGGCCAACATGGCTGAGGCTTCTGGGAGCTGAAGTCCCTCGGCCCTTAAAGGGGAAAGGTTGCCTACCCCTGAGCTAAAGAAAGAAAGGTGGCAGCCATGCTCTCCTGACTGAAATTGGGTAGGCCTACAAGAAAGGGAAGGAAAGGCTGTAGGAAGGAAGCCATGGCAGGTTAAAAGCTTATCCACACTGCAGAAATAAAGCAGCTTGACACCACTTTAACTATCACGGGCCCCATCCTGTGGAAACCTAGGATTTGTAGTTTGGTGAGGTATTGTGTGTAGAGATTCATTTTTAATATGTGTATTTTATGTAACAATTGTGTTTTTTAACAATGCTGTAACCTGTTGTAAGGGAAGGCAGGTAAGAAATTATTATTATTATTATTATTATTATTATTATTATTATTATTATTATTATTATTATTATTATTATTATTATCTCAGAGAGCTCTAGTGTCTCGCAAAAACTACAAATCCCCGGATTGTGTAGGATGGTGCCGTTGCAGTCAAAGTGGTGTCAAACTGCTTTATTTCTGTAGTGTGGATTCACCCTCAGTTTCTACCTCCCAGCAGGCAAGGAGTTCCTGAAAAAATAAAATGGCTTAAGCTGTTAGTGATACAGGAGCTGTATCTGCATTGCAGAAATAATCCAGTTTGACACCACTTTAACTGCCATGCCTCCATGCTATGGAATTCTGGGAATTGTGGTTTTGTGAGACATTTAACCTTCTCTGTCAGAGAGCTCTGGAACCACAATGAACTACAGTTCCCAGAATTTCATCGCATGGAGCCATGGCAGTTAAAGTGGTCTCAGGCTGGATTGTTTCTGCAGTGTGGATGCAGCCATAATTGCCCCCATAATTTGGGGAAGAGTCCTTTGCCCTTGTATTTAAAAGAATGGCTTGCTCTTCTCAAAACCTGTCTGGCCTATTCCGATATGGACTCACTGACAGTAGGCCTTTGCAGACTGCCAGAAATAGTGCAATTTGAGTCCACTTTAAGGGTTAGAGTTAGGGTTAGGGAATCATGGGAACTGTATTTTATTGTGGCACCAGAGCTCTCTGACAGAGAAGGCTCAATGTCTCAGAAAAAAACAACAACAATTCCCATGATTCCCTAGCACTAACCCTAACCCTAAAAGTGGACTCAATTTGCACTATTTCTGGCAGTCTGCAAAGGCCCAGTGTTGTAGGGGAACAGTTTTATTTTATGTTCAAGGAAACTGTGTGAAACGAAGACATGCTCTTTAACAAATATTCCTTAAGGAATCTGCTTGTTTATCTCCCAGCCTCTTGCCCCAAATTTCTCCTGAAAATAATTATATGGAGATATTGCACGCACGCACGCTAAATCTAATCCAATCACATTTTATGAGAGCAGCAATGCCACTGCACGGCTTTCTCCCAATTTCTCAGTTTTAGGAGTTTTGTTGTTCTCCTGCCTTCAAGTTATTTTAAGCTTATGGCGAACTTTTCGTAGGGGTTTCTTGGAAAGTTTCTTCAGAGGGGGGTTTGCCATTGCCTTCTCCTGAGGCTGAGAGAGTGTGACTTGCCCAAGGTCACCCTGTAGGTTGACATGGCCGAGCCGGGATTCGAACCCTGGTATCCAGAGTCATAGTCCAGTGCTCAAACCACTACACCACACTGGCTCTCTTTAGAAGTTTACTGCTCTTAATATTAAATACGTTGCTGCGAGTATTGTGTGAGGTTTAATATTCATTGGTAAGGGTGGATGTAGACGAGTGTCCAGTGTCTCTCAGGTCCAAAACACACTGCAGAAATAATCCAGTTTGAGACCGCTTTAACTGCCCTGGCTCAATGCTAGGGAATTCTGGGAACTGTAGTCTTGTGAGACATTTTAGCCTTCTCTGTCAGAGAGCTCTGGGGACACAGTAAACTACAATTCCCAGGAGTCCCTACCACTGAGCCAGGGCAGTTAAAGTGGTCTCAAACTGAAATATTTCTGCAGTGTGTTTTGGACCTGAGAGAGAGTGAAGTTTAAATTTTCCCTTCCCTGTCATGGTCCTCACACACACACAAACACACCATAAACAAATTGGGAGCCTTTTTATCATTTTAAATGCAGCCTTGTGGAGGGAGAAGTCTGACAGGAAGGGAAGGCGAGGGTACATTAATAAAGTATTAATTCAGAATGAAACACCCACTTCA